CGATTTATTTGTCCATGAACAATTGTGAAGTGAAATCATCAATGAGACTTTAATTATCCTAAAGTACATTGGTGAATTTACTACATGGTGTTCATGTTAGCTTCCATAGCTACAATCATGGCCCTTGTCCATTATTTTCTTCATATTTTTTTTTTCTCTAGTGGTGTTAGAAAATACCATTAACTTTTAGCTTAAAAAATTCATGGTTGTCTAACTTAGGACAAGGTACTCAAATTTTTTGTCTTCTTCCTTTTTTTTCCAAAAAGGAAAAGGTGGAGAGATAATTTGAAAGGAGTTTCGTCAACAAATCTAACCTACTGATAGTATTAATTTTTTTAATGTTAGATCAAGTTAAAATCACATCAGATTGAAAAAATATGTATAAGAGACAATTTTTAATATAAATCTGATAACTGAAAATAAAGAACTACTTGTGGTTCATTTTTTCTGGTCCTACCAGAAAAATTTCCTAATTTAAATGGTATGTATAAAACTAGTACGATACTATATCTTCATCCATATTTTCTTTGATGGTATGTATAAAACTAGTACGATACTAAGTCTACATCCATATTTTCTTTGAAATTTCAATATTATATCTAAATTGTACATTCATGTCATTTATATTATCTAAAATTTACTCTATTAATGTTTTTAACTTTACTATCTTCATTTAACATTTAGAAATGACTATAATTAACACAGCGGCTAAGATAAGAAACACAGCATCTAAATCAACAGAGGATTTGAGTTCCTAGATAGAAGACATTCACACAAAGCTTCAAAATCCTTTATGTAAACTACGTGAAGTACCAAATTATAATCGTTTATATAAGGAGAGAATAAGGTGACCAATCAAAGCGAAACACATAATATTAAAAAGCAATTGCTTTGAGTTTTTGAGAGTCCTTTATGTAATTAAACTTTGAGAATAAATAGACATATTGAGGGATCAATTTTCAATATTTCAAATTGGTGGAATTATCTTCAGTTATATATATAATGGACATGTAAACGAATGAATACTAAACAATAACTATATATATTTTGCACCAAACTTAAATCCGCTTGTACGTACCCCCCAGCTTTAGCAAAACACAACAAACACTTGTGAATTTTTTTTTAGTTATTTACCTTTTTTACCCTCTGATCTAGGCTTATTTAAAAAGTATACATTTAATTTTTAATCTTTTCAAATATATACCATTAAATTATGTTTAATAGGTTAATGTCTACCGTTTCTCAAGCTCAATTTTAACCATTTAAATGACACAAATACCCTTAATGAGAAAAATAACAAATTCTATATAATTATTTTTTATGAGTAAAAAGAGAAAATGAAAAAGAAATTAGAGTATCTAAAAAAAACGTCTTTTTTCCTCAGGGTGTCGTCTTCCTCCATCACTGATGCTCGTCTCTTGGTTGTAGACAAGTGGCGAAATAAGAGCCCCGTTCATTTCACCGATTCAAGTTTAAAATTTGAGTTTTATTACAGTAAAAAGCTCTCATAAATAATCACATCTAACTTTTTTACTGCAGTAAAAAACTTTCACATAAAGTCATATCTCAACTCAAATCAGTGAACTAAATGGGCCCAAAGTGAATGTGAGATTCGTGAAGGTTCGGTGTCACGTAGCGAGATTCGTGGCTCACGAGAAGGCCTTGTGGCGACATATATGTTACGGGTAGGGAGCTCATCGTCATGTCCTGAGAGTTGGGGGAAGGGCTTTGTCGTCGACTCGCGAGATCCCAAGTGGGGTGGCCCTTGCAGTTGAGAGGAAGGAAGTTGATCGTCGTAACTTGCCCTCTCTTAGTTTTTTCAATTTTCACTATTGTTATTTCCGGCGAGAAAGAGAAGATTCGTTGGCAACTATATTTAGTTTTTTCTCTTTCTTCTTTTTTTTTGGATAAATTTTATAAATTTCCCCTGAACTTTGTCATTTATGTCAACATGCTCCCTGAACTTTAAAATGTGCATGTTATGTTCCTGAACTTTGTCACTTGTGTCAATATATCCCTTGAGATTAACTCTGTTAAGTTTTTTTTTAATGGAAATGCTTTTAAATGTCCCATAAACTTTATCATTTGTGTCAATATAACCACTGAACTTAAAAATGTACCTGTTTTGCCCCCCAAACTATGCTATGTCTCTAACTTTTTTCCCTCCATCTTGATTATATCAGTTTTTTGAACGAAAATGTTGATATGACTATTAAATTACTAATAAGTTATGATAATTGAGGTTTATTGAATACTTTCTCCTCTAAAAATATTTGTTAAGCACCAATTCTCAAAACATTAGTTAATTAGAGGTAATAAAAAGGAAAAAAAAATGAGGAGCAAATATGTATAATGTAATGAATTTTGTTAGTTTTTTCTTTAATATTTCACCTAGATAGAAGTGCTCGACATAAAACATATTTATGCTTTATACATATATAGCATTTCTAAATCTAAATATATTCATGCCATTTATTTTATTGTATCTTTTAAAAAAAATCAACACAAATCTTGAGAAACCCATTAACTTAACAAACTTTAATGGTCAAATATCATAGATAATTAGTAATTTAATAGTCATATCATCGTTCAAAAAACTAAAAGAATCAAGATGGAGAGAGAAAAATTAGAGACATATCATAATTCGGGGGGTAAAATAGGTACATTTTAAAGTTCATGAGGCATATTGACATAAGTGACAACGTTTAGGGGGTGTTTATAAGTATTTACATAAAAAAACCTAATGAAATTAACATCAGGAGACATGTTAACACAAGTGACAAAGTTCAAATGGCACAACATGCACATTTTAAAGTTCACGAAACATGTTGACACAAGTGATAAAATTATAGAGAATTTATAAAATTTCCTCTTTTTATTTTATTTTACATATTCCACTATATGGATCATCATTAGGATGTTTAAATTTGATCAGTCAATAATCTGTGTGTTCGTGTGATAGAGAAATAAAACCATGGTGCATTTTGAGATTTTTTTTTTTATTTAATTTGCCTTGTTGCTGATTTTTGTTCTCGGAGATTCGTCACCAATCGGAGTTAATGGCAAGGAATGATGCGGTAGAATATCTCAAGGTCAAGGGTTCTTTGAAATTTGATGTTCTTTTTTAAAATTTTAGAAGTTTTTTTTTTTCTTTTCCTTTTCCTCTGTATTTATTATTTTAGATTTTTTTTAAAGGATTTTTATATCATTTTAATGGTCAAAATTCATGGTTAACTGAGAGAGGATAGACATTTATCTCTTAAATCTAATTTAAAAGTATATATTTAATAATATAAAAAATGAAATGTGTACTTTTTAAATAAATTTAAAATAGGTATAAAAAGATAAATAACTCTTTTCAAAAAAAGATTAAAAAAAAAAAAAGAACGAAACATTATGAGTAGTTTATAGCTTCGGTTTGTCTGCAGCCTTAGGATGTTTGACTGCTTCTTGAATTAGTAGATTATTCCGAGAGGAAATGTGTTGTGAAAAGGTGGATAAATATTAAATAAAAGATGATATGGTATATAAAAAAAATACAACGTGGATTAGTTTTCATTAAAGCAATTTTTATGATGTATATATATCATTATATCGTCTACTGATTTGGCCGCAAGGATTGTTCGGTTGTTCCAATAATGTAATAATAACTTTAAGTACTGATATTTGGAGATTTATGTGTAGAAAAATAAATCATTACATCTTAATTAAAAACTTTTTATTTGGTATAATTTTTTAATTTAATGTGATTTTAATCAAATTTAATCACTAAAAATAAATACTATTGATAAAATTAGATCTTATTATAGTAGGACCATTAATATTTCTAACAAAAAAAAAATCAATATTAAGATAAACTTTAACCCATTAGATCTTACATCGTTTTGAGGAATTTGCACTAGTAAATAATCTCTTCACTAATTCATATTTTTTTCTTTACTATCTCACATAATAAATCATTTATTAGATTCCATGACCCATATTAGAGTTTCATCCTTTCTTTTTTCCTGGATATTTCTCATTCATTTATATTGATTGGGTATCAGAATAGATTTGACACAACAAAAAGAAGACCAACTGATCCCACATTGATAATTGACAGCTACCAATAAAGCGTGCGCCTAATAACCGGCTTGAAATTCCTAAAATAACATTTTATTTTACGAAAAACTTTTTAGTAGTGCACAAATAATTTTACATCGTTGATTCGTATTTTTTCATGGAATTATGTAATTAGAAAAATAATGCAATTATGATATAATCGACCGTTTAAAACTTGTCTTTATCATCTTAATTTTTTTTTCTTCATATTCTATCATATAATCTTTCAGTTGTTTAAAGAAATTTCACGGCGGAAATTATTTCTTTTCTTGTTGGTAGGATTTGTTATTTTAATTATTAAATTATCCTTTCGATGATATTTATTTTTTTATAAAAAAATTTATGATTGAAATAATTTTATGGGGCGCGCTCTAAAATTTTAGAGGAAGAGTTTTTTTTTTGTAATTTTTTTAATTTTTTTAAGAACAAAGCTCTAATACTGGTCACCACCAAGGACATTTGAGACCCAAAATATTATCCCTATCTGACGTGGCACAGTCACGGTTCTGCAACATCAGAAATATCCGGTCCCTTCCTTACTGGAATATGGGCGACCTTTCCCCGCCATAATTTACCACGTCTAAAAAAAAAGAATAAGAGCAGTCAGCAGATGACTTATTTCGTTGGGGCCCACAAGTTTTCCCCCACGGCCCACACGTCCGCATCAGACACCGCAGAATTATCGCCCCTCGTGGGTCCCACGCACCACATCCCCCATCCGATTTCATCGCTTTTCATTTGATTGACAGACAAAAAAAGAAAATCAAGTAAACAAACTAAAAAAATTGTCTAAAAACAACAAAAATGAAAATCAAAAGTATTTACGAAAAAGTCCTGGCAGCAGTGAAATTACAATTTTGCCTCCTTCGTTCTTCCTATAAATTACATCCCCACCCCACCGTTCTCTATCCCATGTCCGAGCTCTTTTCAACTTTCTAGCTAGACAGAGAACTTTCTCGTTAGAGAGAGAATTTTCTCGCCCCGTCCTTTTTCTTTTCCTTTCGTTTTTCTAGGAAAACAAACAGAGAGAGAGAGAGAGAGAGTTTGCGATGTTGGGCGTGTTCAGCAACTCGGTCGTGTCTCCGCCGGACGAGCTGGTCTCCGCCGGCAGCAGAACCCCATCGCCGAAGATCACGGCGGCGGCTCTGGTCAACCGCTTCGTAGAGACCAACGCCAGCACCGTGTCCATTCAGGTCAGCGATCAGGCTCAGCTCGCCTACTCTCACCACAAAGAGTCCGCGTTGCGACCGAGGTAAGATAAAACAATACTGCTACGCTAATCACCGTCTGGTTAGCCTCTACTGTATCTTAATCTATCTTCATCTACTTGATCATAGATGTCTGAGTTACGTGATCAGTTTGATGAAATTGTCCCTGAGCGTCTGATTTGTGGAATTACTCCGGCAGGCGACGGAGAGAACATAGTAATTAATTAATTACTGTTTAGAGTGGTTAATTAAATTAATCAGCTGTTTTTGCTTGTAATTTGCATGACCAGAAGTTTCACTAATTATACAATTATTTTATGAAGTTAATGGTTGAGCGACACGCGTCATAGTGGGATGGAAACCATGAAAAAGGCTTAAATTGAAATTAAATTTGACATCCAATCAAAAATCCTACAAGCGCTGAGATTCAGCTTTCTCATGTTTAGTTTCTAGAGAAGAAAGTATGCGCCGTTTATTTCACAATTTTAAATTTTTAGAGTAAAAAATTTTAAAAAAATATTATATTTAATTTTTTTTATTACAGTAAAAATTTAAAAAAAAAAATTTTTACATCTTAATTTAAATTAAAAATTTAAATTCATAAATAAATGAGATAATTTTTTTTTTTTTTTCATTTTTTGGAACTCGGTATTTCTTTTCCTTTATTTTTGTGTTAAAATACACGTAAAGAAATCGAGAATTTATTTATTTCTCAAGTTTTGGAGATTTGATGGTTAGGAGAGCGATGGCCATGATTTTAGAGCCGTGTGGGCCATGGCGTTGATCAGGTTTTGATTATCGATGGAAGCTTTGGAGTTTTGTTGGGTTAGGTTTCTCTGGCATGACCTCCAGGGCACCTTATCAAGATTCTTTGACTTGATTAGTCTCGAGAGTCGTTTCACAAGTTGATCTGACACGTGGCAGATCAGAATACTGAAGTAGGTCTAGATACAGTGATACACCTACCCGGACGGCAAAGATGATGGCTTAACGTAGAGCTGTCGTTTTCTATTAATAAGTGAGGCTTGTTCATTTCGGTCATTTTATCAATTTAATTTTTTAATTTTAATTTTATTATAATTAAAAATTCTTATAAAAAGTTATTATTTAATTTTTTTTATAATAAAATTTTTTTATATAAAATTTCATCTCAATTTAAATTAAAATTTTTTAAATGTAACTATTCTGCGAGTTTTTAAAATTTAAATTTTAAACTCAAATAAAAAAAACAAGCCTTAATTTCGTAAACTAGACTTAAGTATGTGGTGGTTTTAGTTGTTGAAGAGCATTGCTCAAGTGCAATCGAACCCATTTTAAGAAAATAGCGATCACCGTTTAATTGTGGGTCTTGTGGCAATCTCTCTCTTTTAGGAAAAATCAAATGCTTGGGACCATAACAACCAGAAAATGGGCTCAGTTGGCCGTTGTGACTTTGTTTTTGTAGGTAGTGTTGAGTACCATTAACGCTTTTACTATTAATCATTTTTTATTTCTAATTATTTGTTTTTTTTAATATATCTAAAAAAACAAATAATAGGGATTTTCATTTCAGTAAATATATATTTTAAAAAACGTTATATGTAGAAAATGTTAGTTTTTTAATAGGTAATTTTTAAAAATACTATTTAAAATAGAGTTCTCTTTTATTTTTATTCCTTAATATTAATCCATATATTTTTATCTTTTAATAAGTCAGGTGCTTTAGTAGATAGACTCTGTAATTTTCTTTTTTTAATATAATATTTTACATGCGAGATACTTTTTTCATACCCTATTAGATGTAGAATTTTTTATATTAAGATATGAAAAAATGTATATTAAATAAATGAGTCCTTCATTAAATTTTGTGAAATTGTTATTTTCCTTAATTTGATTTGATATGATGTTGATGTTTTGAACTGTGTTGTCTGAAAATAATACTTTTTTCATATTGTACCACACAATTTTCTTATTTATAAACCACTCATCTCGTTTCTCCTGAAAAGATTTTGTAATATCTCTTATTTATTTTTCTTTGCTTGAAGTTTAGTGATTTAGATATCACACTAGATAAAATCATAAATGCATATGATTTTTTTTATATTATTTTCTTGATAGTATTACCCGGAATACCAACTCTAGCTCTAATGGTTTTTACCAATTTATATGATAATGAATTGTCATCTTTTCAGTCATAAGTAACAATATCGTATTTTTATTCTTTTCTTAAAGTGGGATAAGGTTGGGGTTGGAGAGACCACATGGTATGGTAGTTTGTACCATGCAATATTTACTACTATTGATTTTATCTTCTCTTTATAGCTAATTAGCTGGCTGAATGCCTTTTCCTTAGTGGTTGTCCCAATCATGGTTCTGTGCTAGGATTCCTGATAGAAATAATAACAAGACGTGACATTTACTTTAATAACATGTCATAACAAAAGGAAAATAAAAGATGTGACATTTTCACCCATTTTATGGTTTGCCCTCAAAGGAAAAGGGCCTTGGATTAATGATTAGTATCTTATGAATTAAAATTGCAATGGAGTCAATAGTTCAAGAAAATTATGCCAGCAGTTTGGGCCTTTAAAAAAAAATTTGTAAAAAAATAGAAAATTTACTCTTAAAAGTATATGAGTTTGAATCTTATCATTTACTCTCAATAAATACTTATTTATTAATGTAATTATTTGACCGAAAAGGTTATGAATCAAGCTCATGCACGTTCAAGAGAATTTGTCAAGATTATCCTTTAATTGTTACTTGAATTGTGTGCCAATTGAATTTGTATCGGCAAATCTCTTATCAACTTCAAATTTTTTACACTGTTTGGTAGGAGGGAAAAGAAATAAGATGGAGAGAAAAAAAAAGATGAATGATAGAAAATAAGAATGATTTTTTTTTATTATTATTATCATTATCAAGAGGATATTTGCACAACATAAGGTCCAACTGCTATGAATTTTTTGGAAATGGGCAGATCATTTGCTGTCAAGGATGAGATATTCTGCTTGTTTGAGGGAGCACTTGACAACTTGGGGAGCCTGAGGCAGCAATATGGACTTGCCAAGTCGGCGAACGAAGTGATTTTGGTCATCGAAGCCTACAAGGCGCTGCGCGACCGGGCGCCTTACCCTCCCAGCCATGTTGTTGGCCACCTAAGTGGCAGTTTTGCTTTCATAGTCTTTGACAAGTCCACATCCACCTTGTTTGTGGCTTCTGTAAGTCATCCATACCCCCCCCCACCTAGCACAATTCCTTGGTGAACAAGCTTAGTAAATCCTTAGTTTGGTTTTGGTCTCCTAACAACAATTTCTTTTTTTTTTTGGTTGGTGGGATTTTGACAGGATCAATTTGGCAAGGTTCCTCTCTATTGGGGAATCACTGCTGACGGATACGTGGCATTCGCCGACGACGCAGAATTGCTCAAGGGTGCTTGTGGCAAGTCACTTGCTTCATTCCCTCAAGGTGGGCAGAGAGTGTGCTTGTAGGGAATGGGATATGTGCCTTTGGCCAGAATTTTGGATTTGCATCTTATTCTGTTCCTCTTTAAACCATCAAAACTGAACAAACCAACATGTATATTACTAGGATTCCAGTTTCAAAAGCAACTTTCCCTTTCACCTTTTTTCTTTTTCTTTCTATTCTATGTGAATTTTTGTTGACAATGGTATCATTCTATGGTCAGGATGTTTCTTCTCTACAACAGTGGGAGGACTCAGAAGTTTTGAGAATCCCAAGAACAAGATCACTGCTGTGCCTGCTACTGATGAAGAGATCTGGGGTGCAACATACAAGGTATCACAACCAAGTAGTAAAATATACTTTGCCTTTTAAGGTTCCCTAAAACAAATTTTAACCAAGAATTAATTCAAAATCTAGAAAACTCAAGATCCCTAAAGACCATATTTATAAGGCAAAAATACATATATTTTTAGTGGCAAAAAATTGCTTAGCTCTTGACTTGGTGTGGGTCAACATTCCCATTCCCTAATTTGACATGACAAAAGGATTATCATTTCATTTTCCACATTTTTTTTTTGTGTGGAAATAGATACCAACTTTAGCAAAACTCATAACAGCCACAAATTATTATGATTTAATACCACTTATCTTTTTTATTTGGTGGTTGAAATCACAGGTGGAAGGCCCAGCGGTTCTTGCAGCCACAGAGTTCTAGATCTTCCTTGACAAATCATGTGAGGTTTTTATATGGTTGAAATTGCCAGACAAATCTATGTAGGCCATGTATAAATACCTGGTAAAGTTTTTGGCTGTCGGTAGAGAGCGGATGTATGGCTAAAAACAGCTCTGTGTCGTTTATGTAGTTTATTTTTTTTCTTTTTTGTGTCGTTTATGTAGTTGCTCTCTAAAATTGGTCTTTTTACTCTTGGAGCTTGCCGTTGTACAGCTACTCTTTTTTTTTTCTTCTTGTGTAATAAAATGTCTGTATGCAAAAAACAGCTTAAAAAAAAAAAAAAAAAAAAGTCTGCTGAAATTAAAATTTCTTTCAATTTTTGTCAGAGTATTAGTACGTGGCCTAACCCACTAGTTATGATTGTCAACAATAATTGGAGACTTGTGCAAGTTGGCGACTATAAGGTCTTTAATCTACGTGGGCCAAAGAAATTATTTTCTAGTATAATATTCAAGAATGGTCAATAATTCAAAAGAAAACTTGTCCCAGTACAATGTTCCACTTTTCCTTTCAAATATACATACATATATATATATATATATATGTGTATAATATATACAAGAGTATAAATATATATATAATAGAACAGCACACGAAATTTTCACCGCATATGGCTTCTTGAGGACTTTAAATAAGATCGGGTCAATTTTATTTTATCTTGATATATTTATAAGATGGATAAAGTCAAAATTTATTATTAGATTCTGAATTAAACTAATTTAATTTTGTCTGTTCTATTTTATAAAAAAATATAAAAATAAAAGATTTCATCCTTTATTTAATAATTTCAATATTTTCCTTTTTCCCTTCATATATATATATATATATAATATATACAAGAGTATAAATATATATGTATATAGAATACATCAATTTATTAATCAAAGGTGCAAATAACATACGAGAGTATAAATATAAGGCAGAAGTGAGTAATTTAAATAGGAAATTAATCTAATTGGAGGACGTTTGGTTGGAGGATTCAAACCATGTGATTCGAATCATTTTTTATTTACGTGAATTTTTTGTGAAAAAAAATACTGTAACGAACCATGAATTATGATTCGAATCAAGAAACGAATCCCTCCACTAAACATTCTTACGATATGACTCCATATGTCAAAAAGGTGCAAATAGATAATATGGTCGTGAAAGATACAAAACTTATTTGGAAGCAAATGATACATAATATTGAAAGGAATGGATTTATTTCGGTTCAAGAAATGTAAAAACATTAAACTTTTTTAAATACTACGTTGTACCTGCAATAAAGCATTACTTGTGTCTTATGACCATCAACATCATAAATCTGTTCTGGAGTGAATTTCAAAGACAAAGCGATGCCGTTTCATAGCTTTACCAACATTAATGGAGTTATTTGCCTAAACAATCTGTAATTACCAATTAGCTAAATCGTTAACGCAAATATATTCTACACTAAAGAACTAGTACCGACACTTTTGAATGCTAAATTGCGTAGAGTTATTTGCCTAAACAATCTGAGTTAATTAGTTTTGGTCGCACGTCATAGTAATTATTCCTATGCATCTCACGAAATATATATATATATATACATATATATATATATATATATATATATATATCTGTGTGTGTGTGTACCCTACGCGAATTCTAATTGGGTTTGTTTTGCTATAAACCATGAGGTGAGGTTGATGCAATGACGCATGGTATAACATGTAATAAGTTTTTGAGGTCTTTTACCTAACATCTATGCCTATGACCAGATAGCAAAAAGAAAAATAAGATATGCTAGTACCGGTTTGAGTTTTTTAAAATTTTATAAGACAATATGAATAATACAGAAACATAAAATAAAAGAATACAAGAGAAATGGTATCGCGATTCGGTAACACCCTACTTCGCGGGGCCACACCCAGATGATGAACAATCCACTAAGAACTCTTTTACAATTCAATTGGACTTAATCTACCCGAGACTCCTTCTCTAAGAAAACGCCTATGAACTTGCAATTTCCCAATTGACTCGAACAGCGAGATCCCCTCGACTTTTGAACATTGGAATCCTTCCAACTAAGTTTTTCTCCTGAAAAACATTCAAATCATCTCTTTGAATACAAGCGCTCACCCCTGTCTCACAACCCAGCAAAAACTCATCAAATCATCTCTTCAATTAATTCGCTGAACCAAATCTGTTGGAGATCCTTGTTGCAACAATAACTGCAACATAGTTGTCACGGCCAACTTTCTCAAAACCAGATGAATCAATCTCCTTTCATTCTGAAATCTTTCCAAAACTGATAAACGAACCTGGACACGTTCTTAGGCGACATAGGAAGATCTTCCAGCTCAATTTTTCATCTTTGAATCAATAGTTGACTTACAAAAATATAAACTAAAACAAGTTTTCAGATCTTTTAGTAACCTTCCATAAAAAGCTAGCCAGTTGCACATCTATTTTCAAACACAATCAACCAGCCAAACATTCTTAAAATAATGCCAATCAAATACGATTAGAATCAATACACAAATTGAGAAATAAATCCCAACAATCTCCAGAAATAAATCCCAACAAGATATATGATGTTACAAACCCTTTACTCAAAGTTCCTTTGACGAAAATGTTCAAACAGTTATTACTCAAAGTTATTATCTCTTAAAGAAAATGTTCAAACAATTATTACTCAAACTTCCTTTAACGAAGTCTTTTGATATTCTGAGGTTAAAAGAGAGAGTTTCTCTGATAGGCTAACATATCAATAGTAGATATTTAAGTTTATGTCGAGTTTAACGGGCCGGCTCAAAACCTGCCATAGTTGATTTGGGCTCGGCTAGGTCCGAATCAGGCTAAAGTTTTGAGCCCAAAAGTTTATTTAGACTGAACTGGCCCGGCCTAGTACCTTCTTTTTAAATATATATTTTTAAAAAATACCTTATAAAATTTCGGACTGGCCTGGATCAGCTGGGTTGTCATTCTCCTTTTTGGGGCCGGATGGCCCAACCTGAAATTTTCATTCGGGCCGTTTGGCCCAAATTGAAATTTTCATTCGGGCCGTCGAGCCCGGACTTGGTAGCCTGAACTTTCACCTGTAATTAGTTGGATCAATTTTTCTAATCGTTAGATATGAATAAAGTCAAATTAAATTTAAAAATTATATAAATCTAACGGTTAAAAAAATTGATCTTATCTGTATGTCAACCTACTAGATAAATTCTCTTAAACTATCTCAATATTCCAAAATAATTAAGAACCAACCTAATAAAATAAATTGCTAAACACAAATTAGACACGAGTATGCCATCAAAGACTAACTTGTCTAAGCACCAAGATGGTTGGATCGTGACGTTAAAAGAATTAGTTGGATCATGGATTTTTTTAAAGAGGGAGACAATTAAATCAAAATAAACAAAAAAAAAAAAAACTAAGAATTTGTTTGGCCTATCATTAAGTTTTTAGGTACTAAGAAGACATAAATAAAAACTAAACTTTTTAGTTAGTGCTTCAAATCACATATTTGAGATTAGTAGAGCAAAAATATAACTAGATTCACTAACAAATAAATTAAAATATAATAAAATTATTAAATTTTATAAATTAAAATATAATAAAATTATTAAATTTTATTGAAGTTTTAACTCAAATTTTCTTCTCAAAAGAGCTGTTTCTCGAAAGCTCTTACGGACCAAATTCTTGGTCTCAAAGTTCATCCAAACACTTCTTTTGGACCAAATAAATTAAAAACGATGCCAAACCAAGTAGGTGTAATCAAATGAAAGGGAAAGGAAAATAGTTTTGATATTATCTTATTGTACATAGGAGGGGCAAAATGGTCAGAGGAGATAAAAGTCAAACGGAAAGTTATAGTTTTTTTGGCTAATCAAAACGGAAAGCTATAGTTGAGAAGACCAACTAAACTGCTTTTTCATAGTGGGAAGTCGCAGATTACATTAAACTCTTCCTCATCTTTAGTCTTTCCACTTCCACTCCACTTCCCCACCCAACCGCTTTTATTATTTTTCCTTATTTATTAATTTCCAAATCAAACTCATTACTTTCCATTTTATTGACCCCCCCAAAAAAACCAAAGAAAAAAAAAGGTTCAGACTTTATACTTGATATATATTTCTCCTTTTGTTTTCCCCAGTACTTCTTATTAATTTTCCTTCCTTTTCTTTTGCAAATTCTTAGGGTTCTTTTATTAGTTGTTGAAGAAGACTCAGAATTAGAAGCGAAACAGAGATATAAAGGTACTTTTCATTTTGTTTTTTTTTTTTTGTTTCCCAAGTATGTATTTTTTTTTTCATCAAGAATTTGTTTTGGTTTGCTTTGGTTTGAAGGGTCCTCATCTTTTTTTTTCTTTTTTTTTTTTCAACTTAGTTTGGTTATGTTCTTTTATAGTAATTATATGTTAATGGGAATTTTGATATTAATTCGTGGGAGTTGGTATCTTAGAGAGAAATTACTAGGAATTTTGTCAGGGTTCATGAACCCTAAAAAAAGTTTGATTGGCTTGATGATTAATTGACTTGTGTTTATGTACACGTGGGTGTCTATATAATTAAATACACACACACACACACACACACACATATATATATATATATATATATGTCTATATGTATGTATATGTGTGTGTAAATTAGCTTAAAACAGCCAGAATATGGTTATAAGTTGGTGTTGTTGTTTACCTAAGATGACTTAGTGAGTTGGTGATCAAAGGTTTAAGCTTAGTCCCAGTTCGTTTTAAGTTGTAAAAATACTTATGTGAATGTAAATTATTGCAGAATTATACCTTTTTTTTTCCTTTGAAATTGACTAGTTTCTGTATGGGATCAAGGCTTTATTTAGTTTTTGGCTGTAGATAGATAGGTTGGATTGGATCATGTGATATGAAAGTCCATGTTTTTGTCTCTTACAACTATAAAGTCAAGCTCGTGATTTAAAGAAATCTGGTGAATCCCTTTTTAGCAATTTCAATTGGCCGCGTCGATTGGATTGTCGAAGCTTGATGTTTCGATATCTCTCGCTAAAACTTTTGATCCAGCCTAACTATCAAGGATTCCAAAAAAAAAAAAAAAAAAAAAAAAGCATTTGTTATTTTCAGAAGTTTATTTCATTATTATTATTATTATTATTATTATTTGGATTGCAGCAGAAGAGTTGATACATAGAAATTCTTTGATCCAGCATAACCATCATGGATCAGCAAGGGCATGGACAACGCGCAGCAATGGCGGTGGTTGGTAGTGGAGCTCAGCCTTCGTACGGTGTAAACCCATACCAGTCTAGCAAGTTGCTGGGGTCCTCTGGTCCTGGATCAGCCGGGTTGTTGCAGGGTCAGAACCAGCCTGCAGGTCCCTCTGCCTCTCCTCAGCTCGCGCAGCACCAGCTCGCTTACCAGCACATGCATCAGCAGCAACAAGAGCAGCTGCAGCAGCAGCTCCGGAACTTCTGGACGAGCCAGTACCAAGAAATCGAGCAGACGAGTGACTTCAAGAACCACAGTCTGCCTCTTGCTAGGATCAAGAAGATTATGAAGGCTGATGAGGATGTGAGGATGATATCAGCTGAAGCCCCGGTCATATTCGCGAGGGCCTGCGAGATGTTCATCCTAGAGCTGACGCTGCGTTCCTGGAATCACACGGAAGAGAACAAGAGGCGGACGTTGCAAAAGAATGACATCGCAGCAGCCATCACTAGAACCGACATATTCGACTTCCTGGTTGATATTGTCCCGAGAGAGGATTTGAAAGACGAGGTGCTTGCATCCGTTCCTCGAGGGAGTCTCCCTGTTGGAGGACCGGCTGATGGTGTTCCTTACTACTACATGCCGCCTCAGCATGCTCAGCAGGTTGGTCCGCCGGGGATGATTGTCGGGAAGCCTGTGATGGATCAATCTGTTTGCGGCCAACAGACTCGCCCTTACATCGGTCAGCCATCTTGGCCATACCAACAGCAACCTCCCACTGATTGAGTGGAAGAACTAATAAGGAAAGGATATAACTTGAAGGACATACCTGAAAGAGAATGTGAATTTAGTATCATAGTGTTTTGCAGGGTCAAAAATCAGTAGTGCTTGTCTTGGATAGAATACAAGTTAAAAACACTTTACTAGTTTAGTAATGCATACTCATAGATGGTGCTTGCTGTTAATACGTGATAAAAGCCCGTTAAAAAGGTGTTTGTTGTACTGTAGATAATTATATATCTATCTATCTATCTATCTTGTAAAATTAAAAGGGTCTTCTCCTATGTTTTCTCATTCTTTTCAGCACCAAGTCGCCTGTTTCATTGCGTTTTGATATGATGATTGATTTGTATTTTCTTTTGCCATTATGAAGATAATAAATGTGTGTCAGTATTTGGTAAGTTTGTGTTTTTTGTTTTTGTTGTGTTTTTTTTTTTTGGTTTTTTTTTTCAGGGGTTGTTTTTTTGCAACGAAAACTCAGAAAAAATTTAAACTCGAGTTACAATTTTATTCAAGTTCATATTCTTTTGTAAAATTTGAGTTTGAATTTGAGTTTGCGGCTAAACTCGAGTTCAAGTTTCCCTTTCAACTCGAGTTCATAAACTCGAACTTAATTAAATGAACATTATTTTTTCTATTCTTAAAAATGTCATAACTTTTTTGTTTTAATTCTGATTGAGATGATTTTTTTTTATGCATTCACAACGAAAAGACGAATAAAATTTCACCCATATACCCTATTAAAATTTTTCACTACCATTGAGTTTTTATTAAAATACTATCTAAATATAAATTTAAGTTTTGATCCATCTAATACAAACTTAAATAGATTCTCAATTTAAATCATAATTTAAATGTGTACATCTAAACGCAAACTTAAGTTACAATTTCAACTCAAATTATAACTTAAATTCAACTCAAGATCATCACTCAAGTCACTTTAACTCAAAGTCACTAGTTGACATTTCAAAAAAAAAAAAAGAAGAAGTACGTGGTCACTAGTTGAAAACCTAAGAGTGTGGTGAAATAGATGGTGGCTTTATAGTGTCGGCAGAAGATGATTGGAAAGCCTTAGCTAAATTAAATATGAGATTGTTTCATAGGTTTGGTTTCAACAGTGTGGTTTCAACTCCAATTTAAACTTTTTTGTTTCTTATAAAATATAAACTTCTGTTTAAACTTTTATGTTCAAACGGGACATATATATTATAATGGTTACCAAAATATCATAGGTTCGTCCATATCACTGTTTCTGTCGTTTTTGGAGGTCCGTTTTCTAGTTTCAAGGCCTCACTGCTTCCTTCTTTGTCGAGTTCCAAAGGTCGATTCAGCTAGCATCATCAGGCGTATTTTAATTTTACCCAAAACGACAATTAAAAAAAAAAATCACATTTGGATATCGATTCATGTGATCAGATTTGCTCTCTAGAAAACTATTGAGCTTCTCCCTCCTGTGCTTGTATGGTTTCTGAAACATCATTGCATTTGTAATTCATGGGAATTGACCCTTGTACGAAAACCAATCATTCTTCACAACTCAAAACCAAACCTTAAAAAAAAAAAAAAAAAAGAAAAAAAAGAAGAGTAGTCTTTCTTTTCACAAGAGAAGCTGAACACTGGAAGAAGTAAAATTATATATATATTTTTTTTATTTTTGGCCATGGAGACAACACTCAACAGACAGCAGCGTCAATTAACCGGACAAATATCCTCCAAACTGCAATGGAGAAAATAAAAAACTTTTAGAGTAAGATACCAACAATTAGCACTCTTACAAGAGTTCCATGTTTTTGACAAAATAAAGTTGTTTACCTTCTACCCAAGTACTCAATGATATCAGTAGTGAGGGTTGATCTTTTCTTATCCTCGAAAGCAAGCGAAGCGGCCTTCCTCAACAACGTCGATCCAGCGACGCATCCTAATATCGTGGGATTCTTTGGACTGTTCCAGTGCATAATATAAACATGTAAATGCCAATTTGTGAGGCAAGATTATCATGGAACAAAGATTTATATAGGGTTTTTGAACTGTAGAACCTTATGCTTGTATCCCAATCTGGAGCCGCCCTTAGTTTCCGAGCCCAAGATATGAATACTGCGACACTGAAACAAGCAAAAAGGTCGCTTATCTGAGACTTAAATTTAGAGCATCCCTGACTTTTTAACTCCTAGAACTGAGATGAGAAGGGATAAATCTAGGTTGAAAAGTAAGTTTCATAAAAGGCAAACTCTTTCCAGTTTCACATTTAAACACTCACCTTCCAGAAAGTATATCACCCTGACCGCCACAACGTCGAGGAGAACCATAGATGCTCACTGATTTGACTGCATAATAAATAGCGATGGTTTGAAAATCAATCCTACTTGAGGACCAGGAATACTTACATTCCCTAACCAAGTGCTAATGTAGATATGTTTATACACATCAATAGAATAAAAATGCATATTATCCAAGCAAGAACTTCAAGGACATCTTATCAACAAAAGGAACAAAGAGACGCATGCTTACATACCTGTCTTGCCATCAGTAATGAGGTCAGATTTTCCTTTCCGAAGGATAGTTACACCACCAATTCTGACCAAAAATGGTTTCACAATTCCGTAAATTTAGGTTCGATTAGAGAGTAATTAATCACTGACAGAACTACTGCACCATCGTAAAAGTGGTACATTGCCTAAATAAAGTGACGTTAGAACATCTCCTGTGCTCCCAACATTATCAAGTCCTAATAACCGGAATATAAATGCGGATGAAATCCTAAAAACACGCTTTCAACACAAAGGAAGCTTCAAAAAGAAACTCACTGTTCAGCAAGAGAGAGTAATTGCCCATGAGAGTCTTCGTCATTTACTTCACAATTTAACACTTTCTGTATTAGGCGCTTGTATTCATTTACATTCGGGGTCAGGACAGCCAAGGGATAGTCGCTAACAAGATCAAGACAATTTGTAACAAGAAAGAGTCCATCCTGGGGAAGACCATTCATCAGTTAACTAATTCAAATTCCCATACTAGAAGTCACACGTAGATATTGAATCATAAAGTATGCGTCACAAATCAGGTACACTCTTTTGGTTACATACCCCATCTACAACAATTGGGACACTAGATTCTCTTGCGTGCTTCATGATCCTGCTCACACAGTCCTGAACATTTCAGTCAATTCTTAGTATCATATGTGATAGGATTCGATATGAGATCAAACCAGATCAAGGTAAGACAGAGTGAAACTAGTGAAAGTAGAGCTTAAGTTGTTTCTACATTAAGTATCAACTCTAATCTTGGAGAGAACATTCATTTGTCACGCATTCAAAACTCGGGGCATAAAAGATTAAGTTAATCTCACAATCGAACACTACAAGAACCAAAGAAAGCATTCAGTTTTGAACCCAGAAGATAGATTCAAGCCAACAAATGATTGTACTTCATTATGATTAGAAGCAAATTTGTGAACACATTGCCACATTTCATCACGGCTCCAGTGAGTGTCACGATTTTTGGATTCCAAAAGAGTGTGAGACCAGCAATATACCCATTTATATTCTCTTCTCAAGCCAAGCCAATATCATAAACCACCCAATCTATCATATCCCCAGATTTTTTAGCAAGAGATTTACAAACATGTCTGCCTGATGTGTATGATCTTATCAATATAGATGCCTGGTACTTTAGCTGTAACGAAACAAGAAGAGACCAAATTCACATGCAGATACTATAATTCTTGAGTCTAACTGTCTCAAGGTTACTTTTCTAGATACGAGAATGGATACGTCAACAAACCCAGAAACTAAAGCATACACAAACAGTGTCCGTACAACGAAAATAGTGTAGGCCATGCATCATGCTAGTGAAAGAGACAATGTGTGAACTAAAAGCCATAAAAGAAAAATATAAACTACACCGATAGAGTATAGTAACGTCCATGTCATCAACTGAATACATCAAGAAGAGCTAACCAGAAGAAATGGGTCCCTCCCAAGCCCCGGACCAACTACAAGACAGTCAAATCTTTCCATCCACTTGTCAACTTCAGCAAGAACTTTAGACGAGATGGAAGCTTGGTCCTCGTCCCTGAAAACATCATTTGCCAAAAACAGCAACAATAAATAATATAAACAGAGCTTCTTTGAAGGAAATGAGAAAGGAAAAAAGAAAAAAAATAATCACCCGACACTGTAAGATTCTTCTAAAATTGGATGTACAATTATCTCAGGGCTGTAACTTTTTATAACTGGAGCAGCGTCTTTTGTACAGAAAACATGGGACAAATCTGCACCCTGGGAGAAAAACAAAACGAAAAACATTAAAATGTACTTCCCATCAAACTAGAAGGTCATGTACACTACAGAAACAAAAGCAACAAAACTCTTCTTTTTCCCTTTTAGTTCACTATAAGCTACACGGTTTAGAGAAACCAAGAAGAAAATAAAACTCCACACACAATAGCAAAGAAAAAGAATGCAGAGGCACTAACAATTTTTAAAGCTGAAATAGCAGCAAAATATGGAGCACCAGTATATTCGCGACATCCACCTATGACAGCTATCTTTCCTGATAAACACAAAGAAACCAGAAACACACAAGCGTAAAGAAGCGCAATAACAATTGACACAGGATATTGAAAATCATTGATTCCTTAAATCCCCAATAGGAAATAAGAAAATAAGAAATTAAGAGGGGGAAAACCAGAAATCTCAATATTCACTCATCAAGTATTCTCTTGATTGAAATTACAAACTACCATATCATTAGGCAAACCAAATAACAAACTAGACAACTAAACCATAATAACAAGGGAACTTGCTAAATGCTAATGAGAAACTACCTCAAATAACATAATTCCTAATTTAAGAAAAACCAAAAAAATAATTTTAATCTCCATAATCTTTACTTCTAGTTCTTGTCTTAATAACACAATAGCATTGTAACAATCATCTGTAAACAGTTTCAACTAAGCAATCAGAAAAAACATAAATAGAATCAGTACAACTTATGAAACATGCATAAATGTGTATTCACACATATATATGTGTGGGTTTATATAAATCAAAATTCTAGTAAGTAGCAATCTTTTGAGCTTACCCGCTTGGCCCTTATGTTTACTTTGATCAAGAGTTGGAGTAATTGCTCTCAAAATGTTCTCAGAATCAGCTTCTGAAGTGGGCCCAGCCATGGATTTCACTCCTTGGATTCCCTTCTGATAAGAGGAGTAACCTCCAAGACACCTTATCAAAAACTCTTGCCTCCTAAAAACAGCTGGGGAAGCCAACATACAGTTTCTTGTTGCACTGAACCCAGAATTCACCCCAAGTTTCATTAACATCAGTGAGCTAACACCACTGCAAATCTCTCTCTCTCTCTCTCTCTCTCTCTCTCTCTCTCTCTCTCTAACTGAATCCACAAACTAAAACAACTGAAAATTTGATATCAAGAGGTTGTTTGATAAAAACGACAAACAAACAAAGCAAGTTACCAGGAAAAAAGTGAGTGAAAATGAGAATTAGTTGGATATTGTTTACACAGATTTACCAAAATATCAACTAATAAACAGGAACCCAATTGAGCAAAATTGCAAAGAACGTACCTTTAAGGGAAGTTCTGGAATCAAAGAAGCACCCAAGTTCTAAACGACGATCAAATATTATAGCCCACCGGAAAGGTTCACTGATATTCAGTGGTTCTTTTGCATTTTGGCTGTGGAATTATGAAAATGAAGATGAATTCTCAAGTTTGTGGAAGGGAAATTGGGTTTTTATTTGTGGAAACTGGAAACTGGAAACTGGGAACTGGGAAGAGTGGAAAAGTAGTAACAATCAGATTCGGATTCCACGTAAACGACAATAAACGTTGAAAACGAAACAAAGGAAAACTTCCTCCCGTCCATTTTATCTATTCGAGTTTAAAATTAAAATTTTATTACAATAAAAAACTATTAGAAACAGATAAATTTAACTCTTTTTATTATTCTCATATAAAATTATATGCCAACTCAAATTAAAAATTAAACGGAATAACAACGCAAAAATGAAAGATAAGAAAATATAAAAATTATTTTTTATTTCTCTCTCATTTTACACTAAACTAAAAAATCATTTTTATTTTTTATTTTTTATTTTTAATTGTGTTAAATACCATTTCTCTTCCATTTTTATTTTTTATCTCAAAAAAATAAAAAATAAAAACAAAAATAACTCCAAACACAGCCATAGCCTTCCCACAACACAAGTATATTGCTACAATTTTTTTCTTTTTTTATTATAATATCTTTTTCTTTTACCAACACATTTCAAATTATGACTTGAATTATAAAATAAACATATCATATAGGGCGTAATAATTTCACAAGTTTTAAGAGCAACTTCTTAAAGTTTATGAGAAAAATTACTAAAACCAGGAAGCAAATGTGTTAATTATTCCAAAAATTTAGGCAGCAAACGACGTCGTAAAGATGCTTCTTCATTCATATCAAACTGAAATTAGGTCACAACAAAGGAGCGACGAGAAGGAAAGATGAGGGACAGAAGAAAGATGAACGCAATGAGATCAGGAGTGGTGGTTGTTGGAGCCATGGCTTTCGGATACTTGACTCTTTACCTTGGCTTCAAGCCCTTCCTTGAAAAAGCTCAACTTTCTGTAGAACATTCTCAATCTCAACCTTCTTCTTCTTCTTCAAACTACCCTGAATCATCATCCTCACAAAACTAAAACCTCACCCACCACCTAATCTCAATCAATCACTCATTAGTTTCTCTCAAATTTAGCTTCTTTTCTTTTCGTTTCCTTCTTTTTCTTACTTGGGTTTCTGTTTTTCTGATTGAATTCATGTTTGGATCGACGTAATTTGGTCCTCTGCTCCCAAAGGTATGTTTTTTTTTTCCCCCTTTCTTTCTTTTTTTGTTTCTTTCAACATTTTGGGTTTTAAATATTATTCTATTGTGATGAAATTGAAATTGATATATAAAGAGTAGCTGGTTAGAAGCTTAGTGGGTTGAAGTTTGATTCATTTAAGTCGTTTTTCTTGTCAAATTCTAATACATGGTATGTGAGAATAAGAAGAGGTCTCTTGTTATTTTCAGTTCTTTTGCTTTTTTCATGCCAGCTTGTTGTGAAATCAAGGATTCGCAATAATAATACGATGGAATTAAAAAAAAAAAACAAAATAGTAATAATGACAATAATAAGAAGAAGAAGTAGTCTTTCTCGTAGGAAAATTTAAGATCCTAGTTCAAACTAGGGAGACATAGATGGGGGCTTCTTGCCGAGGAAGGTCCGGATTTCACCCAAGAACAGAACTCTTCAATTTAACATTTGTTCGATGTTATGTTTCAGTGTCCAATATACTATGGCAGACACTTCGAACAATCGGGAGAGTGCCGGTGTCGAAAACACCGATGAGTGGTCAAGGTTTATGAACTTACTTGAAATAGAGAAGAATGCATGGGATGTTGCCTCGAAAGACGTAGTTGGAAAAGAGCTTGACAATCTGGACACGTGGGAGACATTCTACGATTTCTACTCCAAGCTCATAGGCTTTAAGTACAGAAAAAATGATGTCAGGAGAGATTTTGATGGAAACATTTGGAGTAGACGTTTCACTTGCTCGCGAGAAGGGTTTCGCAGGAAAAAGTGGCTACAACTAGAAAACCGTAAGAGAGGGCCGACGACCGAAACCAGATGCGGTTGCAGAGCTAATCTACGTGTGAACACAAATAGAGCCAGCAACAAATGGATTGCAAAAGAGTTTGTTCCCGCACATAACCATGACTGTGCATCTTTTAAGCAAATGCAGTTTCTAAGGTCCAACCTCAGGGTAACTGATTATGTTGTTGCCACCAAGAGCGCATCCTCGAAGAGGGTGGGAACAAAGACTTGTCATATAATGGATATCATCGCTCTTAAGATAGGGGGACATGATGAACTCCTTAGAGCTCGCAAAGCAAAGGAGAAAGATGCTAAAATCATTGATTCGGATGGCGCACTAGGTTACATTCAATGTTTAGCTCGTAATCATGGTGGCGATTTCTATTGCGCATACAATGCGGATGAAGAAAATAGGTTGTGTAATATTTTCTGGGCCGATGGAAAGTCACGAAGAGATTATGCCGCTTTTGGAGATGTTTTGGCTTTCGACACCACTTTTAAGACCAACAAATGCAATAAGCCATTACTACTGCTAGTTGGGGTTAACCACCATATTCGGACAACAGTTTTCGGTGTTGCTCTGTTATGCGATGAAACTGTTGACTCATTTGTATGGGTGCTGCAGATGTTCCTTGAAGGAATGAATAATAAGAAACCAAAGGTGATCCTCACTAATGGAGACAAATCTGTCCAAAATGCGATAGCACAAGTATTGCCTGAAGCAACACATAGACTTTGTGGGTGTCATCTTTTGGAAAATGTTGATAAGAACATCACAGACATTAACTTCAGTAGAGACTTCAAGCAAATTATATACGAGTTCTATTCCGAGAATGAGTTCTTAGAGCGTTGGGGAGCATTGACCCACGCCTACAAACTCGAAAATAATGATTGGGCAAAAACAATGTTCCTTGAAAGGGATAGTTGGGCAGAGACATATTTGCGTGGCAACTTTTTTGGAGGAATGCGTAACATGCAGCAATGTGAATCAATGAATGTAAATATAAGACGCTTCCTTGATAGTACAAATTGCCTTATAGAGTTTGTTGCGTGCATAGACTTTGCATTGAACAAGATACGCCAGAAGGAGATGCAAGATGACTTCTACAATCAAAACACTACTCCGTCCCTTCCACAAGGGGATATTCTTAGGCCTTACTATGAGCAAGCTGCCAATTTGTTCACACGAAGAATGTATAAGAAAGTGGTTAGGGAATTAAAATTTCAAAATGCTTACTCAGTTCGCTCGATGGAGGACCTCGTCAATTATCGGCGTTATTCCCTAACCAAGTTTCCAGAAGGAGATGCGCCTTATATTGTTCAATATCGCAAGCTTGATGGGCACCTTGACTGCACTTGCTTGCTTTTTGAGACTGATGGTTATCCATGTTGCCACATTTTCTCTGTGATGAAGTTTCTTAACATGATAAGTATTCCAAATTCATTAATCATGAGCAGGTGGACAATTAATGCAAAGTCACCGTTGCACCAGCATGCACCACCACATAACGAGGTGCCACCGGAAATTATGGAAATGGCTAGGTTCGGCTCATTAAACTCGGATTTTAACCACCTTGCATACTACGCAACCAAAGTGGAGGACTACTACAATGAAACGCGAATGGAACTTGCCAGACTAACTTTGAAATTTAAGTCCTTGATGGAGTCGCAACCATCTAATGTGGATCCGCATAATGCCGAGGTTAGTGAAGACGACGAACCTTCTTTCACCATACATAGGGATTCGTTGGTGGTGAGAAACAAGGGAACAGGAAACCGTCAACAACAAAGAGACACTATGGACGTTGACGAGGGCACTGATAATGCAAGAAGAAAGTGTAGCCTATGCAAGAGCTATGGCCACAACAGGCAAACTTGCCCAAGAAAAGACAGGGGCAAGAACAAGGAGACTCCTGTCCGAGAGACAAACACAACGCCTATTGAATCTCAAGCTTCAACAGAAAATTACAACTCAGCGGGGACTTTCTACGCACCTCTTTCTCAATCGCATAATGCTGCCTACTCTACCTCCAAGTCCCCGCACAATGAAATGCAAATGCCTCAATCAGACATGACAACCACATGCACTGTCAGCGATGATCCAACAACATTTGACCACCAAGGACCGATTGGTTAGGCTGCAACCAAACATGATCCTGATTTTCCACCATAGTTCGATTTGTTTAATCGTTCAATTACTATTCTGTCCTTGCAAGCTTATTGGTTTACCCGTTAGTTGTTACTTTGTTATATATGCAGACACATGTACCTACTCAACCATCCAAGTTATTGCATTCTCTTCTACTAGGGTTAATTCTCTGCATTTTATCATAATTCAACAACATTGTACTCTGTGCATATTACGTTATTTTGAAATCCTCTCGTGGTGCCAATCACTTGGTTACACTAAACCTCTTGAAGTAGCATAAGATTTTCATGCTACGCTCTTCTCTTTTATGCCCTTCTTACTAACTAACGTGTCTGTACATTGCCATCTATTTACACGCCATTACCCTTCATGTTACTCGAATGCTGCCATAAAGTTATATCCACAATATACAAATTTTCAAACTTCTTTGAATTATGCTCCGCTCTTGATTACATGCACAAGTTGCTTCATTCTGAAACCCTTCTGTCTTCCATTGTCACTTTAGGAATCTTCAAATAATCTACACAGGCCCGGATGTGATACAAAATTTCCCGTAATATTACACGAATTTTCTTACTATCACATTTTTTGAATGTTGTATCACGTCATTTGGTCGTCCAGGGATACATTTTTTTTAACCTATTAAAGGAATACTTTAAGCAAATGAAATGACTGTTTTGATCCTTTCGGATATTTGTATCACTTGGGCACCTGTCGAAAACCTGCGACTGCGTTTCTCCCTTTGACGGATCTACCACCTTTAGCAGTTTTCTCTTGCGTGCATGGAAAACGGGGTTGCCTTGTGGATGAAAGTTTGGTCCTTTTGAAGGAGCGGAACATAGCCCAAAAATCCTAATCTTTAAGCAAATTTAAAACTTTATCCTAGTTTTCTTGGACAATTTTTTTACTCTCACATTTGAGGGTATAGTTTATGGACATAAGATTCAGTGTTTTACAAAGCATGCCATCTAGTTAGGACAAATAAGGTTTTTGTAATGTTTTACCTTTTATGGATTCAATTTCATGTCATTTAGATAGAATTAATGTTTTCTTTTTTCTTTTTACAAAAAATATGTTGTAGATGACGGGGCAAGAAAATCAGGAAGATGAGGAAGAAGATTGGATGATAAATTGGGATCGGAGGCGAAGAGCAGCTGCAGTTCAAGTTCTTTGTTATGTAGTCTATGTCTTACAATTACGCCATGTGTATTACAGCAAACACCATGTGAATCATTCTGCAACATGTTTGAAAGGGAAAAAACGCAATGCTCCAGGGGATGATTTGTTTAGGAAAGAGTTTGAAAGTATGAGGGAAGCAATTAGTAGTGTCACAGAAGCAATAAGGGAAGGAAATGCCATTGCCAAGAGAAGTAGAGCGCGTGTTTATTCGGAGGAAGAAGTTTTTGCGGAACTGGTGAATATAGGTGTCGATGAAAGGCTCAGATACAAAGCATACACTTTTCTCACTCAAGATGCTACCAGGGTGAGGGCGTTCTTTGGTTGCCCCGTCGAGGAACGCAAGAATTTCGTGCTACAACTGATGTATGGTCCGCGAAATCTCTGATGGGCAGGTTCAATGTTTTAAAGAACGTAGTTAAACCTTTTGTGATGTTTTCCTATTTCTAGATTTAGCTGGGGGTTGTTCTGTAGAGAACTTGTCTCAAACTTCGAGCCAGTATGGTATGTCACATGATTTGAGAAATTTTCATATTCAGCTTACTGTTGATAGATTCTGAATGGATGGTTTTGTCATGTTGTATTAGATTTCTCTTTCACTTTCACACGAGTTTTAATTTTCTTGAATCTGTCAAAGATCTACTAAAGCTATAACGAGAATGGAATTCTTGTATTACTGGGACAAGTCAATGTTTCATGTGATCTGAGAAATATCATAATCAGCTTTCTATTGTTGAATTCGGAATGTTTGTCATATTGTATTAGTTTTTCTTTCACTTTCACAAGCCTTCAAAATGAATGGAATTTTAGCACTACAGGGAACCCCCCTTTTGCGTATTATAAGTTCTATTCGACTCCTCCAGGTTGCAGTGGGGAAATAAGAGTCAGAAGAGAGTAAGAAGAAAGGCAAGAAATGAAGTTGAAATCCACCATCTTTATGTACATTTGTTTACAGTTCTATGTACCAAATATTATGATTCCTCAAACTTGATCAATTATATATGCTATGAAGAAATTTGGTAGAGTTCCATGATATGTTTGAAAAAAAATAAAAAATAAATAAAAAAAATAAGCCCAATCATTCCTATCATTGTCTGTGGGACAAGGAGATGATGTTCAGCTAGAATTGATGGTCCTTTTTTTTTTTATTGCTTCTACTTCTCACTTTTGGGATAATGGCGTTCTTTGTCATCCAAACTTCTCCACTAGATCTTCCTTGCATTGCAAGTAATTAAGAGGAGTAGAACTAGAAACCTCATCTTTAACATACATCTTATTCTTGAACATAATTCGACTTGTGCAAATGCATGAAACTATTTCTCTGCACTTGTGAATGAATAGATATAATTCAGGTGATTCATTTATACCCCCTTCATGGATTTTTTTTTTTTTTTTTTTTGGTATAATAAGCACTTTTTTTTTTCGAAATAAAAAATAAAACCCTGAAAATTAGGGTGAACTTTATTTTAATCGTTTGTCACTAGCTAGCTGGTGAACCTCGTTCTCTGAAGTTTCCATTTTATTGGTCTTGGTGATTCTCATTTTGCAAGGAGAAAAAAAATGCATCACTTTTTTTCTAAAAAAAAAGAAAAAGAAATTGCATTGCTTGTTAATACGTAATACCAATTAATTATCTCACCGTCTTGAATCAGCAAAAGGCAGAACATGGGGCATGGCCGGTACGTAATGCTGTTTATTTTTCTTGATGATGTCTATTAATCCACGAGAGATTCTTTAGAATTCTTTTTATTTATTTATTTATTTTTTTGGCTTTTTTAAAGAAATAAGATGGGTTTTTTTTTTACATAGAAAGTCAGATTCACGTGTACCTTGTTATTTAATTCAATCTTGTTTTTTGTTTGTAAAAAAAAATGGTATAGCGAAGTTGAATAATGCTCGTGGACCATGCATGTTGAGTTCGAAACTTAGATTGGACTTTTTTTTTTTTGTCTTTCTTTTTTCAATCACCAATCATGACATGACAAAATAAAACTAGTTTGATCTTCATATATATGGATAATTTATGAATTTATGATCTTATATTCTACCTTTTGAGTTTAATAGAAAAAGAAAACTTTACATTTTGAACGTTTCAAAATTATATCTTTGAATTTCAAATTCATGTTAAATTTGTATTTTTTTAATATTTTAAAGAAATAAAGGAAATAGCATAATTAAAATTGTATTTTTAAGCTACAATGCAAATGGTAAATTTGTCAATTATTGTTTGGATTACATGTTTATTCATAAGCTGCGAGTTGCGAACCATAACTTCGTCAATTCAGAAAACAAGGTAAGCATGTACATAGAAAAATGTACAAATTTAAGGTCTCGTTCACTTCACCGATTCGAGTTTAGAATTTGAGTTTTGCTGCAGTAAAAAGTTCTCAGAAACAGTCACATCTGACTTTTTTGCTACAGTAAAAAGCTCTCACGTAAAATCACATCTCAACTCGAATTACAAACTCGAATCAGCGAAGTGAACGGGAAGTACATAGATTTGGATTTTTACTCCTTACTCTTAATTAATATTCTTCTGATTAATATAATTATTTGACTAAAAATAATATTAATTAAGAGTAAGGGATAAAAATTTAAAGGTATTATTTTGAAGGTATTTAAAATACAAGGCAAGCTTCTTTTTTTTTTTTAATAAACTCAAAATAACAAGGTACATAAAAACAAATTGTTTAATAAACTCAAAAGAACAAGGTATATAAAAATAATGCGAGTTAAAAAATAGTAAAATAGTCCTTTTCATAATAGTATATTAGTATGTGGTAACGTACAATGTTTAACTTGTATATCAGAAACCATTTCTCGTTGTTTAGCCTTTTTTACCATCCCTTTTATTTAATATATAAGAATAAGAATTTAGGTGAAGCGTGGATATAATGGAAAGAAATAAGATCTTTTGCATGGATCTAGGGGTAAGGTCACCATAAAAAAGAACGTGCATTGCACCCATTACTTGGATCTAGGGGTAACGTGCATTGTACCCATTACTTACTTTATTTTCTTGTTTTGTTATTAGTATGTTATCTAAGGTTCAAGTACAGATATTAAGTTATGCAAATAATTTGTAATTACAGGATAGGATAGCTCAACAGCAATTTCATATTTGACTTTATTATAAGATGTAGATTTCAATTTCTCACCCCAAATTAAAAAAAAAAAAAAAAAAGAACTATTTGACATTTATGCTTTTTCTTTTCTTTACATAGTAAATTGCAGCAAGGTTAATAAAAAAACTGAATAAGAAACTTCGTGCCATGTTGAAAAGACCAAGTCTAAAAAAAAATTGAAATAGATTATATTTAAAATAAATAATACCATGAAAAAAGTTCTTTTTTTTTCTTTCGGTTGGTCAGCTCAAAAAAGTTCTTCTTAAGAAAAAATTAAAAATAGAAGAAGACTACAAATACGATTGCTAAAATGAAACGCCTTTTTTAGAGAGAGAGTGAGAAGTCTTTGGAGAGTAAAAATTGGCTAGAGCTTTGGCATCATCTCCAGGCGCAGCGTCAGGTTCCCGGCTATAAAATTTGATATTTCGGCACGTCTCATTTTGAGCTTTTTATTGGTAGTGGTAGTGTACGATGTGCTGGCTTTGTTTGAGTATATCTGACTAGGTTAGGAACTTAGACGTCGATTGGACAGTCTCCTTTCTCAGGAGAGTTTTTTACTTGATGGCTGAGATTTCTTTGCTGGCTATTTTTCTCGATGGTCCTTTGGCCGGACGCCTTTTACCGGAAGTTTCTACTGGCAATGGTCAGAGATTTTTTTTCTTTTTATAACTTTTGTATTTGTAATAAGGTTAGTGGTTTTCTCACCCGACCCACATCTGGTTTGTTGTTTTTTATTAGATTTAGGTATTCGGTTTAATGTTGATAGAATGGTCTTGGTCCGGTTAGAATTTTTTCTATGCCATATAGATGTCCCCCTTCTATGGGTTTTGACGATCTGCCCCTCTATCGCTCAACAGCTTATGTTGAATAAAGAGATTTTCTCTAGTTGAGTTTTTAGTCGGCTCATTGTTAGTGTACCTAGGTGTTTTCCCAATTTCGAGTCTCAGACATGCGTTTGTCCCATCAGACTAAGACGATTGTTTATCAGTGTTTTAATGAAATGTAATTTTCTTTTAAAAAAATAATACCATGAAAAAATTCAAATGATTATATAAATTGAGGAGGCTACAAAGTCTTATCCAGAAAATAAAATAAATTGGTAATTAACTTAATCGTCAGATTGGCTTTCTTAAGGTTCAATTATCAGATTATTAATATCCACACGAAAAAATCAGATAATTTATTGTGAGTCTGATGATAAATATATATATTTTTTGGTTGAATGTGATGATAAATATGTTGAACTGGTGATTGATAATAACTGATGTGTTGTTTGGATAAAAATAAAATAATGGAGATAACCTCTGATGTCATCCTTGTTTTCCTTGGTTGATTGTGACAAGACAATAATTTTAGAACTTAAGAAACCTCTTCATCTTGCCTTCCTAATGTTCTTTCTAATCATCTTAGAAGAAAATATCAACGAATTTAGGAAATTATAAAAAGTTGTTCCCATTCAGTTCGTTAATTCGAGGCTTTAATTCACTAATTCGAGTTTTTAATTTGAGTTAATATGTGATGTTATGTGAGAACTGTTTATTATAGTAAAAAAATTAAATGTGACTGTTTCTGAGAGCTTTTTACTGTAACAAAACTCAAATTTTAAACTCGAATCAATGAAAAAAACGGAGTCTATTCTTTCTATCTTGCATCATTGATGTTCTCGCTGATAACAATGTTTAATTTGACTATTTTGTTCTGATTGCATCATGACCGATCATAGACATGGATGGATATTAATCAAACAATAAAGAAATATGTAAATTTTATTTTTTGGGGGAAATTTGTATTCATATGGCGCCTTTGGCACTTTGCTTTTTTTTTTTTTTTTTTTTTTTTTTTTTTCTTTGTTGATATTGCAATGGCAAGGACGAAAACATTTTTCAATTTTTCATGAGGATTTTGTTGTCAAAGTTTAATAGAAAGTGGTTGAATTACATGACCGCAAATTTTTGAACTCCATCCAAGGGGTTATAAACGTGAACCCGTTCGGTTCGCTAATTCGAGTTTTTAATTCGAGTTAAGATGTGATGTTGTGTATAAGTTTTTTACTGTAGTAAAAAAGTTAGATGTGACTATTTCTGAGAGCTTTTTACTGTAGCAAAATTCAAATTCTAAACTCGAATGAGCGAAAAAAACGGGGCCAAATAAAAATAATGATAAAAAGAGTGAGTATGTGCCTAAACACTTTCTATGGGAGCGAACCCACAACTTCTTTCATCAAATTACCACGCCACCCACCCAAATTTCTCGGTATTGTTGGATCAAACAGTCTTAGGCCTCAACTTTTTTTCAATAAGGGCTAAAAACATTCGCCGTGTTTGGAGTTGTTCTTGTTTATTTTTTTTACGTTTTTCAAGAAAGAAAAAATAAAAATGATTTTAAAATGGTGTTTGATACAATTAAAGACAAAAAACGAAAATGAAAACGATTTTTTAATTTAGTGTAAAATTAGAGAGAAATGAAAATTGACTTTTAGTTGTTTTTCATTTTTTGTTTTCGTTTTCTCCTCTCTTGAGCAGAGAGAGAGACATTGATGGGTTTTTTTATATTGAAAATAATCTCTTGATAAAACTACCAAACACATTTTTAAAAATAATTTATGTCTGAGATTGAAAACGTTTTCATTTCCATTTTTATACAAAAAAAATAAAATCATTTTAGAACGAGTTTCAAACACACCCATTATTTACATTCTTTCTTTTAAAGAATTTTTTAGAGTAGTATTACTCAGTAAGGTTTATGCAATCATACAGTACTAATGCATATGATAGATTCTGATCACCAGTTAAGAGTAGCACTAGAATTGATGACCTTTGGAAAGTCTCTAGTTGCATCATTCCTTTGAAATTTTAGTTAAAAAAAGTTAAATTTTATTTGTGGCATTAAATTTTAAGATCATTCTCAATTTGTACTCTGAGCTTTAAAAGTTTTGACATTCTCTTTTGAATTTTGAATTAGTTTCAACTAACCCGTTTTGTTAGAATTTTGAGTTTTTGTTAGATTTTTTCAATTTTTCATTTGTTTTTAACAAAATTTATAAGAAAAATATCACACGACTGCACCACCGATCGTGTGACTATACTAACCTATTTTTCAAGTATGTTTTTAATAGAAATCTAACGGAGGAAGTTGAATAAGACTAAAATTTAAAAGGTAAAGTTGGAATTTTTAAAATTCAAGAGATCTTAACTTTTTTTTTTTTCACAACTCAAACTTTTTCGTTACAGTATTTTTTCTTATAAAATTTAACTTTTTTGTTATAATACTTTCTATCACATAAAAAATTTGAGTTGTGAAAAAACACATGGAAATGACCGGAAGCTACAAGTGAAAAACAAATCTTAAAAGAAAACTACTTGATAAGTTTTAATAATCAATTTTCATATTTTTCGTTAGAAAATTACGTTGAATTTTCATACTTTTGTTAAAAAAATTCTGTTAAATTATTTTTTTGTTCCAATTTACACCCCATTAAATTTTTTATTTTTAAGGATGCTAATGTTTTTTTTTTTTTTTTTGCCGAAGTTTTTTTTTTCATATCACAAAAATTCCCTTCCTCTCCTAAATAATTTACCGGAGGACAAAGTAAAATACTAACCTTATATTTTTTTTTATCACTCTCTATATTTATTGTTTAATGCTTGAACTCTATTAATATGATATATTATTATTTGAACAGAAAATGAGTGAAGAAAATGACAAAAGTATGATGCTAATATTTTTCGGAGGAAAAATTAGGAAGAATGATAATGAAAATTTAAATTTAATTTTTTTATTATAGTATTTTTTTTATCACATAAAAATTTGAGTTGTGAAATGAATGCGAATGATCAGAGGGTACAAGTGGAAAAGATCTTAAAAGAAAACAACTTGATAAGTTATAATAATGAATTTTCATATTTTTCATCAGAAAATTCCGTTGAATTTCCATGTACTTTTGTGAGAGAATTCTGTTAAATTATAATTTGTTTTTCACTTTACACCCACCAATAAGAATTTTTTTTTAAGAGCTGGTGCTATGTATTTTTATTCTTTACTTTTGATAAATATTTTTTTATTAATATAATTATTTAATTAAAAAAAATTATGAATAAAAAATAAAAGGTAAAAATTATGATTCAAATATTTTTAAGAAATATTTTGTCAAAATTACCCAAAACAACCCTCCCTCTTGCTGTCCTAAATAATTCACCGGAGGACAAATTAGGGAGAATAACTAATAAGCAACAAGAAACTGCTTTACAGCGTTAGTGCTGTCGGGATTATCGTTCAAACGACAAAAAAAAAAAAAAAAAAAAAAAAAAAAAAAAAAAAAAAAAAAACCACCCACTCTCCCCATTCTCTCGTGATTCACACGACCCAATAAAAAAATCTCCCAACTCAGAAAATTTTCCCTCTCCAAATTCCCACGTTTCAAACAGAGAGTGGGACATCATCTCCCAACCGTTATTGGCCTTTTCTCACTCCCTTTTTTCTCCAGTTCCTTCACATCCCACGTTTGGACTTCACAAAGCTCAAACAGTTTAACCAAAAAAAAAAAAAACACTCAAACCCATTTAAATCCCATTTCCCATTATTTTTTTTTATCTTTTTTCACTTCACAAATCTTAAGACATCATTTGGATTTGGAACTAAATAGTACTTCTAATAAATCCCATTTCCCACAGGTGTTTTTTTCCTCATTATTCTACTCACCGAACCATCCCCTCTCTCTAACACTTTCTCTCTCATCCTAAGGTGACAGAAAGAGGAGGAAAAGGGGAAAGTATATTTATTATAAGCTTATTCCGCCATGAATGCTGCCTTGCTTACTCCATACCCATCTGGGCTATACTTTTTTTAATTTTTCTTTTGTTCTTTTTTTTTTTTTTTGGCATTCATGACTTTACAAAACTGACCTACCAAGCAAAGCCACACACACTGATAAAAAACTACTCAAAAACATTTTTTTTTTGGATTCAGTTTTATTGGTTGGCCCATGAAGTTGTGCTCTCTTGTTGCTTCCAATCCACAAAAAGTTGATTCTTTTTCATCTTAGAGGAGAAACTTACGAAAACCCAGATTCCAAAATCTGTTTTTTTTTTTTTTTTTTTTGGAGTTCCAATGTCTAAGTTAGACCTTGAATCCATGCCATTATTCTCAGAAGCTTTGAAGAAGTTCAAGCGGTTGAGGCTCTTTGAGCCGTCTTTGGTGGTACTGGGGTTCTTCTTTGTCACTGTTTGTGTGATTTTCTGCTTCTTTTACTTGGATTCAAGAGCTTTCTCAAAAGGGTTCAGAATTTCTGGCCAATCGGAGAGGTTTGTTTGGTTGCAGACAAAAGGGTCTTCTAATGGTGGTGAAATTCCCAAAGTTGAGTTTCTTGGAGAAAAGGTTCATCTTTGTGATGTGTTTGATGGTGATTGGGTTTGGGATGAGTCGTATCCTCTTTACCAGTCCAAAGATTGTCGTTTTATGGATGATGGGTTCCGGTGCTCTGAAAATGGTCGTCCTGATTTGTTCTACACCAAGTGGAGATGGCAGCCTAGGAATTGTAACTTGCCCAGGTTCTGATTTCTTATTTTCTTTTTGGTTTTCTTTTTTAATTCTTCTGAGAAAACTAGGGAGAACCAAAAAAAAAAAAAAAGGATTTAGAATTTTTTGTTGGTATTGAACATTTAATTATTTGTTAATTGTGGAGCTAAGTGTGCAAGTCCCCATGATCAAGTGTTTTGAATGGTTGAAAGTGGATTATTATGTTTAGCACTATATTATGTTAGTCAAACAAAAATTAGTGGATTGTTCCTTTCAACATTCCATTATTTCGAGACCAAATAAAATATTTGAAGTGATAATAATTACAAAAAATGAACTTCAAAAGATGCCTTATCTGTCTTTGGCTGCATTTTAGGATACTGTTTCTCCGCACCATTAATTTTTATTGGTATATAATGCTTTTGTGATCATTTTCTTAGGATTAATATCAATTGTGAGGAATGAGTAGTGACTTTCATATTTATAGTCTTCTGGGGTGAACATGACTCACAATTTTACTTTCATCTTTGAAGTCATAAATCATCATCTTCTTCAAGGGGATATGCTAGTGATGTTTTTGGAAAAATTTGTTATACTTCTAGGGCAATTTTAAGTAAACGTTTTATTGATGTGTCAGTTTTGTCTTTTCTTTCACACTTTTAATTCCTGTGAGGTATTGGATGGTGACATGAGGCTATTATCAATGAGGAGAAATAATTTTCTCCTCCAGAAAAAATAGACAAATAAAATTGTTATCTTCTATGAACTTTTGTTTCTATTAGTGGAAATTTCTACTTTCTCTATTCATTTTGTTTAGGGGTGTCTGATGTTTTTGTAAATTTTCATCTTTAACAATCCTGTTGATTTAATGTATGCCATTAGTAAAAATTAACAGCAGTTGTCGATGATGCATAAAATTTTCATAAATGGCGATAAACTTAATTGATGTCACGAAGAGGGTGCTAATTAATCTTTTTGGTAACAACAAAACCAGATTTGATGCCAAGTTGATGTTGGAGAAGTTGCGGGGGAAACGACTAGTTTTCGTTGGCGATTCGATTGGAAGAAACCAATGGGAGTCGCTCTTGTGCCTGCTTTCTTCCGCAGAACCCGACAAGGACTCGATTTATGAAGTCAATGGCAGTCCTATTACAAAACACAAGGGATTCTTGATCTTCAAGTTCAAGAATTTTAACTGCACTATAGAATACTATAGGGCCCCCTTCCTTGTGCTGCAGAGCCGCGCCCCTGCTAGATCCCCGGAAAACATCAAGACAACTCTAAAGTTGGATCAAATGGATTGGTCTTCTTCTCAATGGAGAAATGCTGATGTGTTGGTGTTTAACACCGGGCGCTGGTGGAATTACGGGAAGACCATTAGAGGGTAACTTCTATAATCCTCTATGCATACTTTATTATGTTTCGGAGAAGTTAATTTTCTTTACATTTTCTTTGAGCACTTCATAAAAATAGTAAATACACAAAACTTATGATTACCAGAAACGATAAGTATTTTTCGTGTTTCATAACTTTCTCGTCGAACTCTTGCGCAGGGGCTGTTACTTCCAAGAAGGGGCAAAAGTAAAGATGGAAATGAAGGTTCAAGATGCATACCAAAAGTCCATTGAGACTGTGGTTCGCTGGATAGAGAATCATATCAACTCAAACAAGACGCAGGTTTTCTTTCGTACATACGCCCCGGTCCATTTCAGGTTTCTTTTCCTCACTTGAGACGATTCGTTTTTCCCGTTGTTCAACGTGTGTTCAACGCTTGTTAATGCTAAAAATGGCATGGATTTATGCAGAGGCGGGGATTGGAAGAATGGAGGAAGCTGTCACTTGGAGACATTGCCGGAGCTAGGATCCTCGTTGGTGCCTTCTGATAATTGGGAGCAATTTCAAATAGCAAACAGTGTCTTTTCAGCTCACTCAGACGCGTTAGAGGCGACGAATTTCATGGTGCTGAATGTAACACGGATGACTGGGCAGAGAAAAGACGGGCATTCGTCTTTGTATTATCTCGGGCCCAACATGGGTCCTGTGTCCCCCCATCGCCAAGACTGCAGCCACTGGTGCCTGCCTGGAGTCCCCGATACATGGAACGAGCTACTCTACGCTCTATTCTTAAAGCACGAGACTAGTCGCTCACTAAACTCTTCAACTACCGCGCACTCGATGAACTCGTCAACATGAAGGCTGTAAGTTATGATCAAAGAAGCATTCTTATTCAAGTTTCAGCGTAGAAGATCGGACTTCTTATGATTAGTTAGCAACGACTCAAGACCTCTTGCGAAAGGCGGAAAGAAAATACACAAGTATAGGTAAAGAATTTTGTTAAAGAATTGTTCATTTGGGTGTGAAGCAAGTCTCAGATTAGTTAGAGCAACATGTTTATAGAATTAGTGATACCAAAATCATAGAAGCAGGTTGATAAGCCCGGGGTGTTTGGAATAAAAATTGTGATACTGTAGAGGAGAAAAATTCACAAATTGGGAAATTTTTGTGATTATTATGATTATATCAGGTAGTTTCATTCCAAAAATAAAAAAAGGGGGTGTAAATTATTGAAGCTGAATTGTACCAAACATTTTTAATTGAATTTTAACCAAATAGCTGAAAATAGTACATTTGAGTGTATCTCTTTTTTCTTGCAATTGCATAGAAATACTTGTAATATTATGCGCGGTCATTTTTGTGTAATGTCAATGCTAGCCCAAAAAAAAAAAAAAAAAAAAAAAGGAATAAGAGGAATCTCACAGCTAGACAAATTAACGTAGTACAAGGTCCCTGCATGCTTTCTCATACAATATTATGGAGACTTTTGCCATGATAAGCTATCCTTGTCTTTCATTTTCACTACTAACTAATTGCATCAATAATGGCATGATAATCATAATTGGGAAGAATTCTTCTCTACCCAAGAAATAGAAATCCATATGAAAATGAAATGGCGTTGGAGAATCGCCACTGGCTGCTTTGACAAGGTAAGCTCTTGGAAAAATAAAAAATAAAAATAAAAAGTTCACTTTTTTTTTTGAACGGCAAAAAAAAAAAAAAAAAAAAAAAAAAAAAAAAAAAAAAAAGGGTTCTCCTTTGAGTTCAATGAATTCTTTTTTTTTTTCCTTTAAAAAAAAGTGCCCCCACCCAAAAGAATATTGATGCTTTAAACTTGTATTTTAGAGGTTATAAATATATTTTTTAAATTATTTTCCTTAAATTTTAAGGTCATTCTCACTGCCCTTTAAACTTTAAAAATTTTCGCTTTACTCCCTTGAATTCTGTATTTGTCCCATTTAAACCCTTTTATAAGAATTTGTGTTAAAATTAGACGGAAAAAGAAAGGATTAAATGTGATCACGTAGTTTTTATCTATTTCTTTTTAACGAAAATTCAAATAAAAATGCCATGTGATTCTTTATTCTCTTTTTCTTTATATGAAACAAAAGGTGTTAAAGGGAAACAATTTAAAATTTAAAAAGAAAAATGAAGGTTTTTAAAATTTATAAAGTAAATTAAAAATGACCTTAAAATTTAAGAGACACCGGTAATAATCGTGTAAATCTCTCATGAATTCCCTCCCTTACGTGACTTGATGGAGAGAATTTATGTTATAATTTTTGTCAATTCGTCTTCACACAACCGTATTCAAAAGTAAAGGCCCCCGGAACTCAATTAAAGCAGAAATCTACATATTTGAAGACTATTACAGTAAATATATATATATATATAGAGAGAGAGAGAGAGAGAGAGAGAGAGAGAGAGTAAAAGTGGTATGGATAACATTTTAAGGCCTAAAATTCTAGTAACAGTGGTATGAAGAGAAGAACTAATTTAATAGAAAGATTAGATTTTGAATTGAAGGGAAAAAAAATAGAGGTGGATAGACCTCCAGAAAACTATTAAAGTGAAAACAATAATTTTGCAATTTCTCTGCTCATTATAAATATTAATCTAATTTTCAAGTACGTACCCGTCTATTCAATCAATAATCAATACTAAACGTTTAATTATGAGTGATAATAATAATTTGAGAAAATTGTTTAATTTACCTGCTCTGTCTAATGTGTATAAATTAAGAATAAAGGCACAATTCTAGACCCGTTAACTCCAGGAGGTATTTAATTCCTTTGCTCTAATAATAATTTACTATAATTCAAACAAATTATGAGAAAATTGCAATTTACTAGAATTCAAACAAATTATGAGAAAAAATTGCACTTAACCTTAATTTACTAGAATTCAAACAAATTATGAGAAAAAATTGCACTTAACCTTAATTTACTAGAATTCAAACAAATTATGAGAAAAAATTGCACTTAACCTTAATTTACTAGAATTCAAACAAATTATGAGAAAAAATTGCACTTAACCTTAAAAGTGTTAGTATGAACTTTTATGAAAATTTTTTAAAAATACACCTACCACATTTTATTTCTACTATTTAATCTATTTCTACCTTTTTTTTATTAAAACTAATTAAGGAATAAAGTTTTTTAAAAAGAGTACTTTTTTAAAAAAAAAGTACTTTTCTAATTAAAGAGTCCGTTTATTTTATATTAACTCAAACGAAAGTTGTTAATTATGCTGCAATTTAAATTTCAAACGTCATAATAAAAAAAACGAGCTCATAATTTTTCAAAAAGAATAAAGAATGCTTTTAGTAATAGAGATTGAGTAGTCAATGAGGTACATAAAAGATAAAATTTTATAATTTTTGCAACTTTTTTTTATAAGTTCTGCAACTTTTTTTTTATCGCTCAAAACATAAAATTATATTAACAAATACCCCATAAATGAAGATTATTAATTAGATTGACAAATACCCCATAAACAAAGATTATTAATTAGATTGACAAATACCCCATAAATAAAGAATATGTTACACATAACAAAGATTATTAATTAGATTGACAAATACCCCATAAATAAATAATATTAAAAGTTACATATAAATTACATTAAAAAGAATATTATTTATCAAAAATAAAAACTCTTAATTCATAATCTTCTTAATCAAATTACACTAACAAAAAATAATTATTAAAAGAGATAAAAATCTAAATAATTAAACTAACAAAAAAATATTTATTAAAAATAAAAAATTATATTCATACACTCATTTTCAAAGTAAATTCTTCATTTTTTTCTGAACAAATTCTCTCTCCATTTATTCTAAAAACATTTGGACTAGGAAATTGAACAGGGGCCGCGCGAACGCAGGCCCCCACTATCACAAATTATGACGTTGGCTCTCCCACTTGGGGAGACCATAGGCGGGCACCCCTCCAAGGTGCAATGGAGGCCACCAACCTAGGCCATGGGCCTTGATGATCACCCATTAACCCCGTCCAGGTAAGTATGTTGCTCAATGCCATTCGGCCCAATTTTATACCCTCATTCTCTGCCCAACTCTCTACTTCCTTTTCGATGTGGGACTAATTCCCAAACTCAAAAAACACAACAACATAAAAGTTTGAAACTTTCCTAAAACTTCATTCCTAATTCATTCATTCACAACCAAGCACGCTTCTTTTGCTCTCCCGGCCATTTTCTTTCTTCTTCTGTTTGGTGAATTTCGCTTTCAAGCTTTCTTGTAGGGATTCAATTTTTGATATTATTTTGATTGAATTTAATGGAATTGGGATAGTGATTAGCGTGGTCCTTCACTTCAAGTTTTGATAGGCTCTTGGCGTGAGCTAGAAGCTCCCTTTTGATTCATTATGCGTTTGCTTTAATATTCATTGTTGAATTTAGGAAGCATATAAATGGTTAATGTGGTCCTTCACTTTTTAGGATTTTTTTTTTTTTTTTTTTTGGGCAATGCTTGTGTGGGATGGCTAAACCAAAAGCAGTGGTGGCTTTTCCTTCTCAAATTTTGCCTTGTAATTTTTTTGCAAGGTTCAACTGGTTACTTGTTTGCAATGGATTACTAGCCATAATCTTAGTTGATGTTTGACAAAACTTGGTAGCAATAGTGCATGATATGCATTGTTTATGCCATGCACATATGTCACATACATTTTTTTTTTTTTTTTGCTCCAACACCAACAAGATTAAGAAAAAAAAAATTTCTGATGATTTGCTTCTTCTTCTTCTTCTTCTTCTTTGTTTGTTTGTTTCTTTCTTTTAGTTCCAGTAACAACCTAAAACCAAATTTAGTGACTGACACCAGTCTTGTGCATGATATGCATTGTTTATGCCATGCACATATGTCACATACATTTTTTTTTTTTTTTGCTCCAACACCAACAAGATTAAGAAAAAAAAAATTTCTGATGATTTGCTTCTTCTTCTTCTTCTTTTTTTTTGTTTGTTTGTTTCTTTCTTTCTTTTAGTTCCAGTAACAACCTAAAACCAAATTTAGTGACTGACACCAGTCTTGTATTTTCAATGGGGACCAAACAAACCTCCTGTTGTTCATACGTTATTTTTCCCCTTTTTTTAACATTTTTAGTTTGAAAGAAATTCTAATATTTTTTTGTTTTCTCATTGGCATTCTAATCTAGTTATCAGTTCTGCTTAATCTTCAGTAAATTGACTTTCGGAGGAAAAAAAATGGAAAAACAGAAAGGGACAGTAAATGGATAATTTCTTGATGGGCTTGTAACTCTATCCAGCCTACTGAAGTCGGGCCAATAGTCCAGCCTTCTGAAATTGGGCCACAATGGGAGAATGAGCCCGCCGTTACCTCAATGAATTCTTCCTATTAAACATTAATAAATAATAACAAA